CTCGCCGCCGCCATGGCCGCCGTCGTGTGCCCCGCCCCGCTCGTCCTCGACGTCGGGTGGGCCTCCACGCGCGTCCTGGTCCACCCCGACACCCTCACCCTCGCCCCCGTTGGCTTCATGCACGTCGCAGAGCGCGCCCGCGACCGAGCACTCGCACCGCTCGCCGTCCGCCCCACCCCGAGACGCCCTCAGAGTCTCCGCCTGCCCGTGTGACGTGCTTTTCGACCCACATGACGGTACGAAAACTTGCCCACTCTTTCTTTGATCCGCCCCGAGCTGTGCGTTCCGCCGCGTGAGCGCTGACCTCCGCGTCCTGTGTGTCTTTGTCTATCTATCTCTCTCTCCCTCTTTCTCTCCTCTCTTCTACAGACGAGTGCAACGTCGCCGCGGCCGTGCTGCGCGCGCTGCCCTCGTGCCGCGACTTGTACACGCGCGCGCGGCTCCGAAATTGCATACTGCGAAGCATCTGAGCGTCCCGGCTCTGAGATACCTTGTCTCACGAAAACAGCTCGAAACGGGTTAGCAGCAATGTCATGACCACTCTCATGAACGGTCATTTCCAGAATCGTCGGTTTCGGAATTACTTCCGGAGTGCCATGCCCTGCTGGAAGCTGCAAACTATTTTCGTTCCTCTCACTAGGACCGCCGTAATTGTCTGTTGAAATGTGCTGTTCGCTTCTCATATCAAGAAGCTGTCTAGACACAACTGGTTCTGGGGCTGCGAATGGAGCGTCTTCTTCTAGAGCATCTGCATCGTGCTCATTTCCACAGTCAATATTTATATCTGACCGTGAAGCACTGATTCTGTGGGGTCTGCTGAGGCTCGTTCCTTCATCCCGACCAGCATACAAGCCGGTCCCTTCTATCGCGCTGTTAATAATGGCAGCATATTCTTGCAGGACATCGTCCGCGTCCCCGACTCGAGGGCCCCTGGGGAGCATCTCAGAAAGGCCGTTGGCCACACAACGATCATTTGCTGCACGACGATGATTCAGCATTGTCTTTAGACAAACAGCCCTCCCCCGCGGATAGCATCTGCAATCATAGGCAGGCAGGCAGATATACTGCGATTCTATGCATACATTTCAAGTACTGATGCAAAGCTGTTTGTGACGGTGGATCAGGAGAGGGGCCGTAGGTGTAGGCAAATAGGCATAGGTAAATGTACCGTTTCTTCTGACTCTAGGTTGCAAGGCAAGCTGTCGGTTACTGGAAACCGTTCTGATAAAAACACTGCCCCAACTTCCGCGCTGACCCTTGCCAGCGCGTGTCTGACGACCACATGGACATATCAGGTGATCGTGCAGGACAGTAAATAGAGAACCACAAAAGTCAGAATAACATCAGGAAGAGAGAGATTTTTCACGCTGGTCACCTAGTAACTTACGGCTTTGCTCTGCTTTCAAAGCGGAAAGCAGAGCTTGGGGGAGGTTGTGGCGGTGATAGCGAAAGGCTGGGCTGGGCGGAGGCAAGGCAGCGTGCGTGAACATGCAGGCAGCCGGCACCGGCGCACGCAAAACACGACGCCGTGTCAGTGGCATAGCGTTATGGTCGGGTAGTGGGGTGTTGCGCTGAGGGGAGCCGGGGGGAAGTAGAGCGTTTGTGCCCAATCGAGAACTCGCCATCAACGGGAGCACGAAGAGGGCGCGATCGTGTTTGCGACGCCTCGAAGAGCGGATGCACTTTTTTTGAGCGGATGCACTGCGGATTTTTGGAATCACGACTGTTGATTCGATGTTTGTAATGTACCGTAAAGCGTGTTGCGGTTCGGGAATGATCATGTTCATGGCCTCTCGAGGAGTGACGAAAGCGTTCCGCAATTGGACAGTGTGGGATATTTAGAAACGGCAAAAATTGGTTATTTTTTAAAAATGGCAACAAAACAACTGTCCAACGTCTCCCTTGGAATCAACTCTAGCTCCCTTGTCCCCGGGGTGGGCGGTGGCTTCTGCAGCGTCTTCGCCCTCGCCGCTAGCCTTGTCTGCTTCATGCTCGTCAATATCAACCTCCCCCTCAGTAACATCCGCGGCGTCCGCATACGAGCTAGCGGCGTCAGTCTGTCGAAAAAGTCTGACACATTTTTCGGCTCGCATCGCGAGAGGGATGCTGGCTTGTGGGCCTCGCCAATTCCAGCAGATTTCACGGCAGACTTGATCACGGCGAGTACGTCCGTCAAGCGCTTCCCATCTAGCTCGAAGGCCTCCTTTTCCTCTAACGAAATATTCACGCTGCCGGTCATGGCAGGGGCTGGTTGCATCACAACGGAAATCGGTTTGGAGGTCGCCACGGCAGGCCGTGTTGATGCACCCGGTACTGGCAACGCCTTCATCTTGCTAGCCTCCAAGGTGGTGTTCATCAGGGGCTGTGGCGTACGTTTCAGACTAGACTGAGGTTGAAACTGCTTCCACTGCACGCTCCCCTCGGCATGTGCTCCAGCCACGGGCCTTTTTTCGGGACGGCCAGCCTTGCTTTCTTCATGGAACTCTCTCCTCGTTCTTCCAAGCGGAAGGCAGGCCTCTTTTTCGGGCTCGAGGGAACAGGTCTTGTAGTGGGTGCCAGCAGCTGCAGTTTCACATTGTGTTGTTGCATGCCGTGCCCGAAGGTCCGTTGGGATGCCTGTACGTCCACGATCTTGTGCTCGGCAACTGCGGCCGTCTTTTTGTGAGGTGTTTGCCTCTGAGCTGTTGACGCTTGCTTGTCCGCAATACCACTAATGTTGATCTTCATGCGTCCGGGCGTGCTAATCGGCTTGGATGTAGTACGTTTCCCAGAACTCTCAGACGTCACATTTCGCGATGGGGATCCTTCCGAGCCCCCAACCGTGCCGCCACGCCGCCGCACCATCCGCGGCCGCGCCCGCCCACTCCGCCGCGCAGCCTGCAACCCGGCTCTCTCGCAATCCACTTTCTGTCCCTACGCCGCCCATCTCTACTCCTTGCCGCCTCCGCCCGCGCCCTGCCGGCCCCAGCCCCCTCCCGTCACCAGCTCGTCTTCCACGCCTCCCACCCCCCCTTCGTCCGAGGACAACTCTGATGAGTTCTCAGAAACGGACGAGTGGGTCATGGCGTTGGAAGGCCTCTTCCTGGAGGCCCTGAAGACCTACTACCAGGGGACGCCCATGTTCAGCGACTCGGAGTTTGAGACGCTGCGCGACGAGTTGGATCATCTTGGTTCTGCCAGTATCCGCCTGGGCGCCATGGAGAAGATCTGGATACAGGCTACTAGTGCGAGGGATTTTGACCGCCGCGTGAGGGAGGAGTTCGAGATGTCGGAGGACGACTTGAACAAGCTCAAGACTAAGCTTCTTAAGTCGGGGCTGGCAAAGAGGCCGACGGCGATGCTGGAGCCAAGAAAAGGGGGCACGAAGAGGCGCGCGCTTCCGGTCGATGCCGAATTTATCAGGGATGCCCAGACGATTGAGGCTGTCGACAAGATTGAAGAGAGATTGAAATGGTGCGTCTTTGCACGCGAGCAACGCTGTTGATTGCCCGCATCTTCGTCTCGTTTTTGTGCGTCTCTTACCAATTTTGTTCACCTTGTCTTGATATGATGTGCGTCTCTCCGTTTTGCGTGAAAACAGCCTTCTTTTTTCCGATGCCAGCGAAGAGCGCCTCAAGATCATGCTGCTCTACCTCCCTGCTGTCCTCATGTCCTTTGTCACCGCGTCCGTCTTCACCATATTGTTTGCTCTGCTAGATGGAGATGCGCATCACCGTGACCAACGCCGGCCGATTTCGACTGGACATTCTTTCGTACGTCGTTATGCTGACCTTCTGGTTGTCAAACCAAGTCACCCCTGTAATGCTCGATTATCTCGACCTCGGCCAGCCGTCGCTGATGCGAGGAGACTGTCCCATCTGCGGGTTGCCCGTTTCGTGCCTTTTCACGGGCGCAGCGCGTTCGAGAGATGAGAGGAAATGTCGTGCGTGTGGGTCCGTCGTAGGGTTCAACAAGAAGTGGTACAAAATTTACCTGGTCTCTCCTCCGCGTACGCGCAAGTATCAACAACCTGACTAAAAGTGTCTACCGCTAGGCCTTCGATACGATCTGCTTTGCTGCTTTCGTTTTGCTTTCGGGTTTATTTTATTACATTGATACATCGTCGCGGCTGCTACGGCAGAAATGTTATGGCAGTCTCTTGCGACGACTGGCCGTGGTTCGGAAAAAGGGCTACAGAGGTGTATATCTTGACGACATCCGTCAATGACGAGCATCGAAAGCCAAGAGAGAATTCTAATCCTATCGCTTCATTGCCATAAGCAATTGCGTGCATCCTTCACTTTTGCATCTGGTTAAGATCAAGGGCACGTGCACTTGTCAACACTGTAGCAGACCTTCCTACCAGTCTCATTGCTGTCGCCTCAATGTGGGATGCACTCAGTCCAGCTTCTTCGTACTGCTCACCTTGGCTGCCATGATCAATGTATCGATCTGGTAGAACCATGGGGCGGAACTTGACCTTTCCATCGTCCAACATACCCTCGAGCACAGCAAAGTGTAGCACATGGTCTCCGAACCCACCGATCGAACCTTCCTCCACAGTGATGATAATTTCATGGTCATTGACAAGCTTGCGAATCAGATCTCGATCTAAAGGCTTCATAAACCTAGCGTCAGCGACCGTGACAGGGATGGTGTTCGCCTCCAAAGCTTCGGCTGCTTTCACGCTCTCCAAGAGCCTGGTTCCTAGACTGAGAATTGCGACTGAACCCTCCTTCGGGCTTGGAGCTTTGTTGCGAATGATGCGACCCTTGCCAATCGCAATCGCATGACCTCTTTCTGGCATCACATCATACTTGCCACCAAGCTTCTGATTAATAACGTCAAGACCCACCCCAACTCCACGAGGGTAGCGCACGACAGAGGGGCTATCGTTAATTGCCAATGATGTGGCGACTATATTTTGTAGCTCACTCATCGCTGGGGGCCATGATTATCATGTTAGGAATGCAACCAATGTAGGCGAGATCAAATGAGCCATGATGCGTTGGTCCTTCGTTTCCGACGAGTCCCGCGCGGTCCAGAATGAATCGTACAGGCAACTTCTGAATGGAAACGTCGTGAATGAGTTGATCGTAACCTCGTTGCATGAAGGTTGGGTAGATGCAACAGAACGGCTTGTATCCCTCGCATGCCATGCCTCCAGCCATCGTCACTGCGTGTTGCTCAGCAATGCCGACATCGTGGCACCGCTTCGGAAAACGTTCCCCGAAAATATTTAAACCAGTGCCTCCGGGCATGGCCGCTGTAATGGCGACAACCTTGCGATCATGTTCGGCCTCAGCGATCAATGCTTTTGAAAAGACGGAGGTATAGCTGGGGGTCTGGGAGACACTCTTATGCTGCTTGCCGGTGCCGACGTCAAAACGGGCGACACCGTGGTATTTGTCTAGGGAAGCCTCCGCGGGGGGGTATCCCTTGCCCTTTTCAGTCTTGACATGGATCAAGACGGGTTTGTTGCCAGGCATGTCGCGGACGTTCTCGAGTACGGGAACAAGGGTATCAAGTTTGTGTCCATCAATGGGACCAACATAATAAAAACCAAGCTCCTCGAAAAGCGTACCTCCCTGCGCCATGATGCCCCTCGTATATTCGTCAACCTGCGCTGCGACGTCCTGGATCTCCACTGGGAAGAGCTTGGAGAAGCTTTTGGCCATACCTCTCATATCCTGGAACGGCCTCGATGACATGAGGCGAGAAGTATAATCACTGAGAGCACCTGACGGACGAACGCCGGCGACCGTTTTGGTGCCTGTGGGCGGAGATACTTGGTCGTTATCATTAAGAATGACAATCATATGGTTGAAACATTACCGTCTTCGGCCGGGGTTTCTCTTTCACTACATCCACGATGTACATCATACATGCGTCATAAAACACATCAAACGTAGGTTTTTGTAGATGGAAGAAGGAAGTATTTTGCCACATCGCTACCTTTTTCCTGTCCAGACGGACCCAAAACCGTGACCGAAAACACGAATGGTTTGTTCACCATCTTTTTGATTCTGACGCGATTTTTCTTTCAGGAAAGCTCTGCAAAAGAACTCTTGGAACCATCGCGACCTTCAAAAAACTCCAGAGTCCATTCCCCATCTGGCCTGATCTTTGCGTCAACTGTAGAAAACGTAAAGCGACGGACTGGCTTCGATGTGCCTTCCCTTACAATTATCATGACGTTATCGACGGTGTACGACATCCCTCCGCTTGTTCCCTCGATGGGAACGCGGCGCAATGTCTGCTGAGCATCGGCTTGCCACTTCAACACAGGCTTGACAGCAGGCTTTGGCATTTTCGCTTTAGATACACCTTTCATTTGTGTGGGTGCCAAGGTCTTATTTGCGTCTTGGCTTGATTTGTCTACAGGAGCCTGACCTTTAGGCTTAGGAACGACGTCGCTTCCTCTGACCTCTGGCCCTCTACGCAGCTCATCAACCAGCGCAAGAAGCGCAAGCAGCAAAGTGGTATTGCTTTGCTGCACGTGACTTGCCCACCATCTTCTCGTCTCAACGAATACCAAGTTGACCGCCGAGCTCCCAATTCCACCCCCTCGCCTCCAACCTCCATCTAAACTATGGACTGAGACGCAAGTTGCGTGCAAAGTGAGTGCACTACGCAATGCGATGCAGCATGCAATGCACAGTGCACTCACCTCGCACTCCAGATTACATAGCATTTACGGCGGGCGGTATGAGTGCAGAACTATCATACACTCATGCCGCCCTCTCGGTGCACTCCAAGTGCCACCAATAGGAATTGTGTGGCCCTCAGCGGCAACAATTGGCGTTCACAGTGCACTCAAATATGCTAAAAATCTCAAATTGCACTGTAGGTGCACTCAAAAAATTTAATATTTTCTTCTAGGGAAGGCTCATTTGGATTAAAAGGAGGGCTTCCTGCTGGCTACTAAAAAGAGGCTTGGAAAACTACCGAACATTTTCAAAACCTCCATCGGATTGCTATAGGATTCTATTGTGTCCAGCTATTCGCAAAATCTGGCGTACCACAAATCGGATGGCTATATGATTCTATCGTGTCCAGCTATTCGCAAAATCTGGGGCACCGGATCGCGGACACTGAAATCTGGGCATCGGCAATATCTGCCTAGATACTCTTTGCAACAACGGCCACTAGTTTGGTAATCATCCCTTGAGCGTAGCGCCGATCGGCAAGAAAGCGAGTGCGTGCGATATTCCCATTTAATGGCTCAACAGATGGCTAAGAAAGCGGAATTTCCGGCCTGCAATGAGCTCCCAGATGTACAAGAGGTCGCGAATGGGTGCCCCGCGGGGTGCAGAAGATGCAGCTCATTGTCAGTAAAGTTTACATGCTCTTTATCTCTTTACTTCAAGGACACGCTTGAAGATGTGTTCGACACAAGTGCGGTGCGCACAAATGACTTTATGGTGTCTTGTAGAGAACGTGACTACAATAATGAGATTTTTACTGCCTTTATAAAACGTAAACGATCAGCACGTCTTGTCTCGGGACTTAATTGTCATCTCGAAGGCATACTTCAGATGAAAGCGTTGCAACCAGAGGCCAGGGATTTTCCTGATGATGTTTGCCTTGTTTGCCTTGTGCCACTCTTTGTATGGATGCATGGAACCAGAAAGGAAAAATAAGATGCGGAGAAAGATCGCGCTGGATATGAAGTGATAAAGCCATTGACATGTGAGCACATGTTTCACTCAAAATGTCTAACACTACTCTTTGAGGTCAAACAGTGCACTGTTAGTTGACCGGAGCGTCTATGTTACGGCTCCTTGTCCAGCGTGCCGTCAAACAATTCACAGCAAAAAATTGAGTACTGTACACATGGAACAAATAACGAAAGACGTTGTCTTGGTCTGCGATAATATCAAGAGGCCCCATAATGGCTCTCGGAGTGCCTCGAAGTCAAAGAAGCGTCGTATTTGGTATTCTAAAGGTCTTTCAGAGCGACCGATTGAATCTTTTCTTTGTGCAAAAGACGCGGAAACTCGATTTTTGTTTCATCTACTGAACTAAATTTCAGAAAGGGGCAGTCTGCATGCGCTTGCAAATGAAGTAGTCATCACCGTGTTTCCTTAATTGACTTGGCTGGCGAATCATTGACTGAATCCTGGGTACCCCAAGCCGTGATTCATTCATTTCTTCCGCATTTTGATCCTCCCGCATCATCTTTCAACCATCCCGGCGTCTCTTTCGGGCGTAGATCGTATCCACTTCGACGACGAAGCAGATGCATTGAACCCCCTCTTGTGACTGGCTTTGCAATTTCATCACCCTTGCTAGGCCGTGCTGTCATCATACCGGCTCCATCACGGGAGTCTCTGCAACAGCTTATGAAAAATCGAAAACAGGTATCTCTGAATAGATGCTCAGAATCTCCAATCACCACGGGCAGGTTCTTAGCTCGGCTAAAAGCTACATTCAACCTTCTGCGATTCGTGAGAAATCCGTATGTGCCGTTATCGTTGCTTCTTGTGCATGAAAATATCACAATATCTCGCTGTCCACCTTCCATGGAGTCTACAGTGTCAATTACGATATCCAGGCCCCTATGAGTTCTTTTGAGACGATTTCGCGGATCAGATGGACCAGGTGGCGGTAAGGCGCGATGACCGCAATTCTACCTTTCAGTCCGGAACTTGTGAGCACAGAGGATCCATCTCATTTGGAAACATGAAAAATGAGCCTCAATGAAACCCAGCGTACCTTCCGAGCTTCCAGGAGATTGCATATATTCCCCCCTCCATCATCGCTTTCCATACGACTCCGGCCGAACGATGTATCAAGAAAAGTAAAAGGGAAGAATCCTGTTGATTGCAGTCTTCTCTGGTTGTAATCTGTCATGAATACCGTCGCAGAATTTCCGTTTCGAATTGCTGATCCATAAAAAAACTCGCTGTGGGGAGTGTAGCATAAACACCCCCAGCGATAGGGGTGTATGCACAGTTCGACCGAGACCCTTGTCGATCGGGAAGACGGGGGTGAAGCAGGACACCAGCTAACGGCACCGGGCAGCGGGCCCGGGTAGCGTGGTAGAGCGGGAACGGGGAGGACGCCGGTACGCGCGAGCGGTTCGACGCCTCGACGCCCCGGCGCGGTACTGGGTAACGATCCAGTACCGACGGGCGGAGGCGGAGCCGACTCGTGGGCGTACCGCGCGCGTCTTCAACCCGCGCTCGGTGCCGCTCTAAGGTAATTAGCGAGCGTTACCTTAGAATAAGCGGGAAGTCGGACCTTGACGGTCGGTGGGTGACAAGTCCGTGCTTGTCCTCCTCCACCGCCGCCGGTCCCCTCCATATTTAATGTACATAATCACCTATCATAGTAGTACAGTACCGATGTACTGTAGCGACGTACTGTAGTGGTCGGTCGACACTGTAATACTGTCAGCCATCGGGGCTGACAGTACACGTGGGTGCGCGCTCTTCGGTCCCGCGCGTACACGTGTACACGTGCGCCCCCTGTACTTGGGGGTACACCGGGTGGTACTGTAGAGCATCGAGCCCTACAGTAACCGATCCGATTCTGAGTTGATCTAATCTAAAATAAAGCCCCAAGGGGGGGTTATACTACACGGCCCCCCCTTAAGCGGGGACGTCCGCGTCCACGGGTATTTGTATAGAGAGCCATGTCCGACCGAGTAGCTGCTGCGGTCCGTTACCTCTGTTCCGTCCGTTTCGTCGATCCCGATCTCTGGTCGGTGTCCTTCGTGTCCCGCCCCGCGCCCCCTTTGCGCGCGTCCTGTGAGCGCCTTTAACTCAGGACAGAATTCCCGTGTTCTACGCGTTTGCCTTCTCGCGTTCCTTCTGTGATCCAACCTTGTTTCATTCATCGTCCGATCGGCCGCCAATGTGATAACCCTCCTGTCGATAATGTTGGCTACGTCGTACCAATCTGTCTTGGCATCCTCCGATCCGTTTCCGTCGCCATACCCTACCGAGAGTTTACCCCGTGCCGGTCCACTACGAATGGTATGCTGCGTCCGGCCCGGTAAGCGCCTCATGACTCGCAATTATCTTCGCGAGCACGCTCCCCCTTTTTTTCTCTGGAACAGCTTCCCCGTCCGAGCTCACGGTACCTGCCATCTCCATATATTTTCGCAATCCGTTCCTTGATGGTCGCTCCCCTTGAATCCTCTTCGAACCGCCCGTAATTGTAAACTCAGGTTCGCCGGTGTCTTTCTTCACCAGCACAATGCCGGTAGAGCTCCATACACCTCCCTCATAAGGTCGCTCGGGGTCCGCTGTGCACCACGAGCCTCACGTCAAAATGTGGGTTCGTGGTGTCTTCTCGCAAGCCAGTCGCTCGTGTCATCGCCATGGTCCCCTGGCACCAGCCCTCCGACAGCATCTGGACTCTCTTGATACATCACGTCCGTACGCCAAGCCATCCGCTGCTGTCCTGTCCCCGTACACGCCGTCTCCTTTATGACTCTCGCACGAGTACGGCCGTCCCACAATTGCCCCCACCTCAATTTGCCGACCCGTGCGACGGGGAGGGGGGGACAGGTGGCATTTCCACTCATGGTACTCGTCGGTCCTTCGGGGGCGTGCCGCTTAATTTCCTCGCGATCGCACGCTGCGGGGGCGCCGTGCCCTCGAACTTTCGCGCACACTGCGTCCCCGTCCCTTCTGGACGCCGGTCGGGGTCTCGCTTTGCGTCCGGACGGATAGGGAGGACCTGGGTGTACTGCACGCCAAAGTGGGGGGAGGACATCCTCCCTTGGGTTCGGGGTCCGTTCGACCACTCTACTTGTCTTGATTACTTCTTACCGCGTATGGTGCGTGGCTCTTCGTTATGCCACACT